GAGCAGATAAGGGCGACCAGTCTTAAAATGATTGTTGTTGTTGGTGTTGTTGTTGTTGTTGTCTCTGGTGTTGTTGTTGTTGTTGTTGTTGTTGTTGCTGTTGTTCGATCACTCCAGAAGAATAATTATTGTTGATCCCCTCACTGGTGCATACGGCTTGTTCTCAATCGAAATGTTTGTTTGACCCTGTTTTTCTCAATCAAATGTTTTCCTCGACGCTCGCACCCTGTTTTTGGACATGGAGAGTCTTGGTGTTCAAACTGGGCCCCTGGTCTCCCGGATTGCAACAACAACGGCTCCCGCCGGAGACTTCCTCCAAATTTACTCAGGACCCCAGCTCCTGAGACTTCCTCACGATTTACTCGGGATCGGTGCTCCCGCCTGTGCCTTCCTCGAAATTTAGTCAGGACCCCCGTTCCCATCTGAGACTTCCTCACAATCTACTCAGGAACGGCGCTCCCGCTTGAGACTTCTTCGCGCTTGAACCAAGACTTCCTTGCAATGTAATCAAGACCCCCGCTCCCGCCAAAGAACCCTTCACATTTTATTCAGGAGTTGCGCTCTCGCCTGCGATTTCCATGTGATGTATTCAGAATCGCGCTTTCGACGCTCAGGAAGCACGCTGCGCCAAGGACGCCGTCACAATTTACTTTGGAATCGCGCTCTCGCCATACTCAAGCATCCCGCTTGAATGCCCCACCCGCCCGACCCGCCCGTCGGGGGATCGCCCGGCCGTCGTGGGCTCCCGCCCGAGACTTCCTTCAGGTACGGCGCTTTCGCCTAGGACTTCCTCGAACGCTCACGCTCTTACCTTCCTGCTCCTCCTCCCTCTCCCTCCTCCCTCCTCCTTCCTCTCCTCCGTTATCTCTCCCTCCTCTTTTCCCTCATTATTATTCCTCTCTGCCTTATCTCCTCTCCCTCCTCTCCCTCCTCCCTTCGCCCTCCCCTCTCCTGCCTCCTCCCTCTTTCTTTCTCTCTCTTTCTCCCCTCTTTCTGTCTCTCTCATTCTCTACCTCTCTTATCCGCCATTCTCTATGTTTTGTTCTCTCTTTCTCTCTCTCTCTGCCTCCAATCATGCTCCGTTTTTCTCGGGACAGGTGAAATTATCGCTGGAACTGCACTCAAAATCTCGAACTGCTGCAGCATTGAAATGAAACGGCAGGGCCGGCCGCAACTCCTGCCAACAGCAAAACTGCTTAAGCGAAGTGCCGAAACAGGCACACTGAGAGGGCGTCGAGGGTGAGGCAGCGGGCTCGAAAACCGTTTGAGCACAAATGATTGTGGACACAAACGAATGCGGCCAGCCCGAACACTCGGCATTGCACACTGTTACACCTTTGCTACATGCTCCGTTTTTTATCAGGCCAACTGAAATTCTCGCTGCAGCTGCACTCAAACTCTCGAACTGCTGCAGCATTGAAATGAAACGGCCGGGCCGGCCGCAACGCTTGCCAACAACCGCCAATATTTCGCGACCTGGCGGTTGAGGCGGTCCTTTCCACCACTATTCCTTGCACTTGTCTTTACACGCAGCCCAGGCGGCCTCGAGACGACGAGGAAATTGTTCGGCGACTGAAGTCCACAGTTTTCCTCCGGGAGCCCTGCCCTCTAGAACTTGATGTCTTCTCTTGGAGTGTTTACAACAGGGCCCGACGCAGCTAGCGCGCAAAGACTCTAGCACGCAGTTTTGATCGGGCTGCCAGCAAGCTATGGTCGTGGCTATGCGCTGCGGCGTTCCGAAGCGACAATGCACAGCGTGAGCTATATGGGCTTTCTTTAAGAGCGAGGCGATTGCTGGCTGCTTCCACAGCCATGAGGCACGAGGGTTCTCCAAGGACACTGGCTCTTGAAATCTGATGCGCAGTTTGATCACGCGGGCGCTGCCCTGAGACGATTACCCTGAGCTACGTTGGCGGCATCTGCAGTCGACGGATTAGCAAGACCACCAGGCTTGTCTTTTGAGCGAAGGGGGCCACCTGGCGATCCCAACTTTCCTCGCCTGGCGGTCGAGAAACTACTGCAAGGCGTGCCAAGGTGAACCCAACTCGCGCTGGGAATCAAACTGAGCACTTGCCTAACTACACGCTGCTTAGTCAGATCCTGGCTGGGCGAATCGCGGATGTCCCAAGTGGCTGAGTCCCAACCGCGACGCTGCAATGCACGGGCCAACCCCTGCTGGCCCGAAAAAAGCTCGAGGAACAGGGGCTCCACTCTAGCCCTAGGGTGCGCAGCCAGCTGCCGAACTCGGCGCTGTGCCCGACGCGCAGACCTGCCTCCCGCAGTTCTGCCGCATCGCACAGGCGCAGCTGGCGGTCTCGGGGAGACGTGGCTAGCCTCCTCAGCCCGCGGTTGCGGCCCACCTCGTCCGCGGCGCTCTTGAACATGGCAGCGAACGCCGCGCCCGCCCACGGCGAGAGGAGAACGTCCTGGAAGATCAACTGGCGAGCCAAACGCTCGAGCCGGGGGCCGAGGTGCAGCCTCGCTCCGCTGTCGAACTGGATCGCGTCGTTGAAGTTCCTGGCCTTCGTCGGCAGCAGCTCCTCCTCGGCCTGCCCCCCCGCCGCAAACAGCAGGTCCATGTGCACCACCAGGGCCTTCTTCAGCTCCGCGTCGGCGTCGCAAGTGCGGCCGTTGGTCATGCAGAAGCCGTCGAACTGCGCCAGCCTCCTGTTGTAGTCCTCCTGCGTCTTGTCCGTCGCCGCCCCCTGCCCCAGGATGGTCTGACCGCCAGTGCCAAGGGTCCGACCCCGCGCGCGCCCCCTCGCCCCAGAAACTGGCGGGGGCCGTGGGTCTCTCGGCCTCGCAGGGGATCGGCGACAGGTCAGTGATGAACTGTGCCGCTGCCTTGTCAAGGTCGCCTGGGCCTGAACCACTCTGCTCGGGGCCGATGCTGACCTCTTGAACGGGGCCCTGCCGCGCCAGTGCCGTCTTGGAGAGCTCCCAGCGCAGCAGCAGCCGCCTTTTCTGCACGCGCGTCAAACCATCGACTTGGCTCATCGCTGGGATTCAACTCGCCAGCAAAACACCTCGCGCTGGTCCGCGAAAAGGTGGCCAGAGAAAGCGCGGCCCACTTCCTGAGCAACTTGAGCACGGGGATTGAGACCGCTCGACCCTTCTCCGAATCATAACCATGCCCATGTTGTCACAGAGGAAGAGATGATACTTGTGATGATGCTTTGCCTGCCAACGCTTGCGCCTCCATCCAAAATAATACTGCTCACAACTCCTTCATGTGTATAGCCTCCTTCTTGTGATACCTCCTCGCCTGTATAGTCCTCCAGTTGCCACCCTTGATGAACGATGCTGGTAGTTCAGGAAACTGATGAGTGATGCTGATGGAGATGTCACGTTCGCTGCCCATGTTCGTAACATGCAAAACACGATGGGAGAGAGGGGCTTCCACGCCGAGCTCCTCTTTTTCTGCGACCGCGCCCAGGTCCCCAAGCGGCAATGCACCGCCCAGAGCCCGCTCCCGGGCCCGGCCGGCCCCCTCGACCCTGAAACGCCAGCGTTCACTCCAGCGCCCCACCGGCTGGACCACCGAAGTCGGGAACTCGGCCTCCTGCACCGCGTAGCCCCTCAGGGTCGCGCCCGAGCAGGTGACCAACCTGGACCAAGGCAGGTCGACTTGCACCGCGAGCAGCGGCAACAAATGCATGGCATTGGACAACTCCTGGCGCACTCACTCCAAAAGCACGCGCGGCGCCCGATTGTGCCTTCGCACGAAGTCGCAAGCGGCCCTGAAGATGCACAGAGCCGGGCGGTTCAGCAGCGTGGCGTTGGTGAAGTGGCCAATCAGCTTTTCGACCTCTCTGCCCGCCACCAGCCGCCGCCTCAGCATGCCCCGCGTGCCCTGGAGCAACCTCCAGCGCTTCGAGGTTGCCAGGAGGCCGCGCAGCTTTATGCCATCCAGCTCCAAGCCCAGCGCCTCCACGACGTCCTCGCTGTCCTCTACCTCGTGCAATGGCAAGCCCACTGCGGCCACTGCCTTGGCCGCCTGAACGCGGGCCTTAGACGTGGCCCCAGCTCTCGACGACACGAAGATCTCGTTGTCCACGTAGACGATGCGCGGCGCCAGGTCGGACGAGGGCGCGCGCCTGCTGTGTCCACCTCATCGCCCACGAAAGCCCCATGGGCAGCACGCGCAGGCACGGGTAGATCCAGGCGCCCGCCAACACGGCCTCGCCCTGCGCGACCTTCGCGCCCTGCGCGCCCGCCCGGACTGGCTTCGCACCGAACCAGGGCACCATGTAGTCCGGCACCTTGAACTGGCATTGGCAGTCGGCGATGTCCTGAATCGAGAACTCCAGCTTGTCATCCGGCTCTGCCTCGAGCCCCGCAATCGCCGCCGTCGACGCCAGCTGGATGGAAATGGGGCTCTTCAGGTTCTGATTGACTGACCTAGCATCGACTATCAATCGCAAGCGTCCAGACTTCTTTCGCACAAAGAATACGCCAACTTGAAATCCGCGATGAGTTCGGAGCTCTACCATGCCCCTGCCCAGCATGTCTTGCACAAACCGAACATGCTCACCCTTGTCCGCGCGCAGGGTCTTGTCCCAGTAAACCTTGCGGTCGACTGGGCGCGCCCTCTCAGTTCGAAGCAAAAGAGATTGGGGTCCGTCGATCACATCCAGGCGGTCAAGGTCTGGAAACACGTCCAGCAAGTCCACAGAGCCCGCAGTGTCCGGCCACGAGACCAAGCCGCGGTCATGCGGCGCAGCCACGGAGAGGACCTCATACGCATAGTCGAGGGCCTCGGTGCCGAGCAACTCCTTGAGGGCTGCCTCGGGGGCGCCCAACTTCTCCGGCGGGCTGTCCTCAGCAACTGCGCGCCAGATGCGCTGGGCAGATCGGCGGGGGCCTCGGCGATGAGCAGGCTGGATCACCTCTACCTCGGGCAAGGGGACCAAATCCCGAGGCACGATCCTCTCCAGCCCGTGGCCTGTTGCTTGGGCCGGGGTCGGCCGCGTCCCAGTCCCGGGCGCCATCGGGACTTCTCATTGAGCGCGCGCAAGCGCACGCCCCTGCAAAGCTTTCCTCTCCTCCTTCACGATGGCCGAGCCCCGGGCCGCACTCTCCGCCGCCAACTTCAGCAGCGCCGGGCGAACGATACCGCCGCCCGTGCGCCTCGTGCGACCCAAGTAGTAGTCCTGCGAGTCGAAGTACTTCCCCGCCTCGCGCTTCTTCTTGACACGCCGCTCGATGTACTGGGCATGCCTGCACAGACCCTCCATGCGGGCCAGGTTCGACACGTCCAGCTGGTCGAAGCTCGTCGACAACTCAAGGATCTCCGATAGCATGTCGTGCGCGACCGCCGAATGCGCATCCTCCTGCAGCTTGTTCTCGTACTTCCATGTCCGGTGGCGTTGCGCCGGGCCCCCCGCCTGCTTAGCGATCTCCTTCACCGCGTGCCGCGTAGTCCCCGGGCCCTCCACGATCCAGTCGTCGAAGATGGACTGGTCTGTGGTGGGCGCCACACTCTTCAGGTCCCCGACACTCTTGCCCCGATTGTCTCGAACGATCGGCAGGGTCCGCGCCTCCTCGCCAGCTCCTCGCGGCGTCGAAGTACCCTTCGCCCCAGCGGCGTCACCGACCCACAGCGTGAACGTTGTGACCATATCATCCTTCTTGTCGCCCTGCTCCAATCGCCGCAAGACCGCCAGGCCACCTGCATGGTCGACGTCGTACCAGCCCACGGGCCCGCAGCTCAAGAACCTGCCCGATGGCGTCATGTGACTCTCCACGAGCCGGAACACGCAGTAGACCTCCATCGCCGCCGAGCGCGCGACGCAGCCCCAGCGGAAGAGCTCCCTGCCAGCTGCCGAGCCCAGAGCCCCCGCCTTGGGTCCCGCGGCCACGGCCGCATCGTTCCCCAGCACCGGCAGGGGCTCCGGCTCCTCGACGATTAGCCCGAGGGAACGCCTCACATCCGCGGCCCTCGCACGCCTCTCCTCGATGAGACCCTTCAGCTCTGCCCCGAACGGCCGCTGCCGGAACTTGTACAGAAGCTGGCCACGCGCAGCACCCAGCCCCGCAGGAAGGTCCCCGCGTGGGTCGCCAGGGACGACATCGTCGAGGTAGTCCCGACCGGAGTTCCCCGCGAAGATGTCACCGTCGGGAGTCATCACACTGTAGTCGCAGTCCTCGACCACCTCTGGGACCAGCCGTTCATGCCAGGGCTCTGCCTTCCCGCCGTAGTTGACGAACACCACGACCCCGGGCTCCAAGCTCACCAGCCTTTGCCGCGCCGGCCTTCGCGACATCCTTGGAGAAGCTCGGCCGAGATTCTAGCGCCAGCACCGATCACCCTGCAGCACCTGCTGCAGTAGCGCCGCGGCGCCCGCCAACATCACACGGCAGGTCACGTAGCAGGAGCCGCACAACGCCTGCGTCGACAGGACAAGCAGGACCCCGCGCACGAAGGCGAGCACCCTCCAGACGCCGCCAGGCTGAGCGACACAGGCGTGCCCCCGATGCCCTGCGAGACTATGCAAGCGTCCGCCGAGGTGGAGATCGCAAGCGCACAAGGGCTCACTCCCAGGGCGTCCTGGAGGCCCGTGCCCCGATCGCTGGCGGCGCCACCCCTGGTGTTTCTGGCTGGTGGAAAGGGTCCGCCGAAATCACCGATCCGCCGCCTCGAAAACCGCTTGAGCACAAATGATTGTGGACACAAACGAATGCGGCCAGCCCGAACACTCGGCATTGCACACTGTTACACCTTGGCTACAAACGCCCCCCTCTTCGCTCCTTCTCCCCTGGCGTTTCCCATCTTCCTTCGCCGCTCCCCCTCCCTTCCTCCCACTCCCTCGTTTTCCCCCTCCTCTTCTTGCAGGGCCCACACCAATTCCAATGGCGGGCACATGTACGCCCACGAAAGATTGTCCGCCCGTTCACGTTCACCCGCCCGTCTAAGCCCGCCGCCCCCCGCAAAGAGAAACAATCTCCCCAAAGGGGGTGTGATCGAAGTTAAAAAAAAAGGCGGGTATCGAGGGTGTGGGGAACTCGTTTTGAATGACACGCGGGCAAGTAAGAGCGAACAGTCTTCTAATGATTGTTGTTGTTATTGTTTTTTGTTTTTTGCTGTTGATGTTGAATGATAACTACTAAACAATTATTATCGTTGGTCCCCCCAAGCGCTTTGGCGCTGTCGCCATGGCGCCGGCTACACTGTCATTGAAAATGAGGCTCCCGCTCGAGCGGTTTGGGGGGGCGCCAAAACTGGCCCCCCAACCACAACAACGCTCCCGCTCGACACTTCCTCCTCTCGGCGGTGGACAAACCTCCCTTTCGCAAGCCTCCCCTTAGTGACAACGGCCTGGGACCGAAACCGACGGACCTGAACTCGCAAAAATGAAGACCGCGACGCCCTCTCGCGAACCGAAAACGGCCAATTCCTTAATCGACGAGTCAGGGTAGGAGGCCTAACCACCTCCGACCCTTTTTTACTCAGGGCCGGTGCTCTTGCTCGCCGCCGAAAGCCGCCGTCCCAACAAACCAACGCTACCGCTCAAGACCTCCTCCCATTTTACCTTGGACTGGCGCGCTACTCATTCTCTCATCGGCGCCGCCCCCAGCAAAAACAACGCTCCCACTTGAGACTTTCTTCTTTCTTAACTCAAGGCGGTGCTCACCCTCGCGGCCGAAAACCGCCGTCCCGACAAAACCAGTGCTCCCGCCCGAGACGTCCTCCATTTTCACTCAGTGCCGGTGCTTTTGCTCGCCGCCGAAAAGCCGCCGTCCCAACAAAACCAACGCTACCGCTCGAGACTTGATCCAGTTTTACCTTCGACTGGCGCGCGACTCTTTCTCTCATCGGCGCCGCCCAAGCAAGAACAACGCTTCCGCTCGAGACCTCCTTTTTTTTCTCAAGGCGGTGCTCCTCCTCGCCGCCGAAAGCCGCAGTCCCAACAAAACCAGCGCTACCGCTCGAGACTTCCTCCCGTTTTACGCTGGACTGGCGCCCTACTCTCTTTTGAATTGGCGCCGCTCCCAACAGGAACAACGCTCCCGCTCGAGACTTCCCCTTTTTTTCCTCAGGGCGGTGCGTTTCCTCGCCGCCGACAGCCCCCGTCCCGACAAAACCACGGCTCCCGCTGGAGACCTCCTCCTTTTTTTCTCAAGGCGGTGCTCCTCCTTGCCGCCGACAACCGCCGTCCCAACAAAACCAGCGTTCCCTCTCGAGGCTTCGTTTTGTTTTACGCTGGACTACCGCCCTACTCTCTTCAACATTGGCGCCGCTCCCAGCAACAGCACCGGCCCTGCTCGAGACTTCCTGCCTTTCTGTTCAAGGCCATGTCCTTGCCTCGCCGCCGACAGCCCCCATCCCCACCAAGGCAATCCTGTCGCTCGATACTTCCTTGTGCTTTACCCTTGGCTGGGGCTCCACTGGCGGTCTCGCATCGCCGCAGGAAGGTGCGGGCATGGGTTTTCGAGGAGGGGTATGTCGAACATCCTCGGAGGAGGTGTTGTCAAAACATCATTGGACGGGAGTTCTGGGAATGGGAATGACGGAGCCCGCTATAGAACAATAGTCCCGCATGATGGGGATGGTTATCATGATGGTCGCCTGCCTCGTGTGGAAACATCGCGCATGAGGTATAATGATTGATGTTGTTGTTGTTGTTGTTGTTGTTGTTGTTGTTGTTGTTGTTGTTGCTGTTGTTGTTGAATTCTCATTTCCCAAAAGTAAGTATTGTTGATCCCCCCCACCGGTGCATACTTTTTTCAATCAAAATGTGCCCCTCGACGCTCGCACCCGGTTTTTTTTGACAAGGAAAATCTTTATGCTCAAACTGGGCCCCTGGCCCCCGGGTTACAACAAGAACGGCTCCCGCCTGAGACTTCCTTACAATTTAGCCAGGACCCCCGCTCCCGCCCGAGACTTCCTCGCATTTTATTCAGGAATCGCGCTCTCGCTTGGGATTTCCTTGCAATTTATTCAGGAATCGCTCTCCCGGCGCTCTGGAGTCGCGCTCTCTCTGGAGACCTGCTTGCAACTTACTGAAGAATGGCCTTGCGTTGGAATTTCCTGCAATTTGCCCAAGCGCCGCGCTCCCGACACCCAGGCACCCAGGAGTCGCGCCCGTTGTGGCCCCATGTGCATGCCCTTCGTGGCCCCGCTGTCGCCATTTGTGTCCCCCATCACTGTCCTACGTCGCCCAGTTGCTACCCTCAGTAGCCCCATAGTTGCTTTCTGTGGCCCCGCATTATCTGCACTTCGTGGCCCCCGCTCGTTCGCGCTCTTCGTGGCCCCATACGCATTTCCTTCGTGTCCCCGCTGTCGCCCTTCGTGGCCTACTTCGTGCCTTTCGTGGCCCTGCTGTCGTTCTCTCTCGCTCTCGTGTTCGCTCGTCGTCGCCGTCGTCGTCGTCGCCGTCGTCTTCGACGTCGTCGTCGTCGTCGTCGTCGTAGTGATCGGTCCCCTGTCCGTCCCTCTTGGGGTCGGGTCGACGGTCCGCGGCCGCCCCGCCGATCAGCGCTGCCGCTGGCCAGGCCGACGGTCCGCGGCCGCCACGCCGCTTGCTGGGGCCCGGCCTGCAGGGAAGAAAGGTACACCCCCCACAAGGGGTTCGATCGAAGACGAAGAGGGCGGGTATCGCGGGTTTGGGAAATACGCGTTATTGGACACTCGAGCATAAAAGGGCGAACAATATTAAAAATACTATTGTTGAGTTCTCACTTCTGAAGAATAATTATTGTTGATCCCCCCCACCGGTGCATACTATTTTTTCTCAATCAAAGTGTGCCCCTCGACGCTCGCACCCTGTTTTTTTGACAATGAAAATCTTCATGCTCAAACTGGGCCCCTGGCCCCCGGGTTACAACAAGAACGGCTCCCGCCTGAGACTTCCTTACAATTTAGCCAGGACCCCCGCTCCCGCCCGAGACTTCCTCGCATTTATTCAGGAATCGCGCTCTCGCTTGGGATTTCCTTGCAATTTATTCAGGAATCGCTCTCCCGGCGCTCTGGAGTCGCGCTCTCTCTGGAGACCCGCTTGCAACTTACTGAAGAATGGCCTTGCGTTGGAATTTCCTGCAATTTGCCCAAGCGCCGCGCTCCCGACACCCAGGCACCCAGGAGTCGCGCCCGTTGTGGCCCCATGTGCATGCCCTTCGTGGCCCCGCTGTCGCCATTTGTGTCCCCCTCACTGTCCTACGTGGCCCAGTTGCTACCCTCAGTGGCCCCATAGTTGCCTTTCTGTGGCCCCGCATTATCTGCACTTCGTGGCCCCCGCTCGTTCGCGCTCTTCGTGGCCCCATACGCATTCCCTTCGTGTCCCCGCTGTCGCCTTTCGTGGCCTACTTCGTGCCCTTCGTGGCCCTGCTGTCGTTCTCTCTCGCTCTCGTGTTCGCTCGTCGTCGCGTCGTCGTCGTCGCCGTCGTCTTCGACGTCGTCGTCGTCGTCGTCGTCGTCGTCGTCGTCGGTCCCCTGTCCGTCCCTCTTGGGGTCGGGTCGACGGTCCGCGGCCGCCCCGCCGATCAGCGCTGCCGCTGGCCAGGCCGACGGTCCGCGGCCGCCCCGCCGCTTGCCGGGGCCCGGCCTGCAGGGAAGAAAGGTATACCCCCCAAGAGGGTTCGATCGAAGACCAAACGGGCGGGTATCGAGGGTGTGGGGAATACGCATTATTGGACACTCGAACATACAAGGGCGAACAGTCTTAAAATGATTGTTGTTGTTGATATTGGTGTTTTCATTGTTGTTGTTGCTGTTGTTGAACTCTCACCACTGAACAGTTATGATTGTTGATCCCCCCTCACCGGTGCATGCTCTTATTCGATCAATGTGTACCCCTCGACGCTCGCACTCTGTTTTTGACAAAAGGAAGTCTTGGTGCTCAAACTGGGACCCCTGGCCCCCCGGATGACAACAACAACAACAACAACAATCATTTAAGACTGGGGACACTCCGTTCTCACCAGTGCCAGGGTTTTCATAGGAGGCGGGCAATACCCCAACTTTGTGGGGGGGCCGGTTCAAGCTCTACCAAATTTCCAAACGACTCTTCGCCACCACCCACACCCAGCTTCCCGCCCTATGACGTTCGGACACTTCACTTCGTGGCATGCGGACGACCGTGGCTACTATTCAGGGCCCCGCGGCCGACGACGACGGCGTGCGCGCGCGAAGAAAAAACGAATGTGTCCCGCATGGTATTATTTGACAGGGATGATGGCCCTGGCAGGTGCGCAACCGTTGTCGCAGAAGTTCGAAAAAGTTGCTCGCAAAAGCCCGTTTGACAGAAATGTTTAAAAAGTGTTGGGTTTCCTACGAATCCGCAAGAGCGCGCGGGATGAGATTTTGACATTTTTTGTTGAAAAACCATTGGTTTTTTGATGTTTTTATGTTAAAATCGCTCCGAACACTAAGCTTTTGGAAGGATTTCGTCTTGCGCGCGCGAATGTCCACTTTACCTTATTTTTTGCAAGGGATTCTTGAAATTTGATTATATTAGAACAAGAAATGTCATTTTATAGTGTTTTTTGCAAGGGAAAACGGATTACAACAAAACAACCGGATCTGGATCACATCGTTTTACCTGAGGCTTCCTCACGAAAATGATGAAAATGTAGCTGCGGCCTAGGCGCGGGGGGGGGGGGCGTGCACCAGGGGGCCCAACAATAATTATTCTTTAGAATTAATAATGTTCAACGGCTCCCGCCTGAGACTTCCTCTAAATTTACTCAGGACCCCCGCTCCCGCCTGAGAGTTCCTCACAATTTACTCAGGATCGGTGCTCCCGTCCTTGACCTCCTCGCAATTTAATCAGGACCCCCGCTCCCATCTGAGACTTCCTCACGAATTACATAGGAACGGCGCTCCCGCTTGAGACTTCCTCGCGCTTGAACCAAGAGTTCCTTGCAATTGAATCAAGACCCCCGCTCCCGCCAGATAGCCCTTCACTTTTCATTCAGGACTTGCGCTCTCGCCTGTGACTTCCATGTAATGTATTCAGGAATCGCGCTTTCGACGCTCAGGAAAAACGCCGCGCCAAAGACGCCGTCGCAATTTACTGAGGGATCGCGCTCTCGCCATACTCAGGCATCCCGCTTGAATGTCCACCCGCCCGACCCGCCCGTCAGAGGATCGCCCGCCCGTCGTGGGCTCCCGCCCGAGACTTCCTTCAAGAACGGCGCTTTCGCCTAGGACTTCCTTGAACGTTCACGCTCTTACCTTCCTCCTCCCTCTCCCTCTCCCTCCTCCCTCCTCCCTCCTCTCCTCCCTTATCTCTCCCTCCTCTCTTCCCTCATTATTATGCCTCTCTGCCTTATCCCCTCTCCCTCCTCTCCCTCCTCCCTTCTCCCTCCCCTCTCCGGCCTCCTCCCTCTTTCGTCTTCTCTCTCCCCTCTCTCTTTTTTTTTGTTTCTCTCTCTCTCTCTCTCTCTCTCTCTCTCTCTCTCTCTTTCTCTACATATCTTATCTGTATGTATCTCTCTCTCTCTCTCTTTCTCTCTCTCTCTCTCTCTGCCTCTAATCAACCGCTCCCGTCTTCGCTCCTTCTCTCCTAACAGTTTCCCTCTTCCTTCGTCCCTCCCCCTTCATTTCTCCCATTCTCCCTCGTTTTCCCCCTCCCCGCACAAATTCCGATGGCGGGCACATGCACGCCCACGAAGGATTGTCCGCCCGTTCAGGTTTGCCCGCCTGTCTAAGCCCGCCGCCCCCCGCAAAGAGAAAGAATCTTCCAAAGGGGGTGTGATCGAAGACAAACAGGGCGGGTATCGAGGGTGTGGGGAACTCGTTTTGAATGACACACGGGCAAGTAAGAGCAAACAGTCTAATAATGATTGTTGTTGATGTTGTTGTTGTTGTGCTTGTTGTTGTCGTTGTCGTTGTCGTTGTCGTTGTCGTTGTTGTTGTTGTTATTGTTGTAATGTTGTTGTGTTTGTTTTTGTTGTTGTTGTTGTTGTTTGGGATCGTCCGCCCCCGCAGCCCGGACCGCGACCCACCCGCGACACGCCCGCGACCCACCCGCGACCCTCTCGCGACCCACCCGCGACCCACCCCGCGAACCACCCGCGCACCACCCGCTACCCACCCCGCGACCGCCCGCGACCCATCCGTGACGCACCCGCGACCCACCCGCTACCCAACTGCGACCCACCCGCGATCCACCCGCGACCCACCCACGACCCACCCGCGACCCACCCACGACCCACCCGCGACCCACCCGCGACCCAGCCCGCGACCCGCCCGCAACCCACCTGCGACCCACCCACGACCCACCCGCGACCCACCCCACGACCCAACCGCGACCCAGCGGCGACCCACCCCGCGACCCGCCACGACCCGGCCCGCGACCCACCCGCGACCCACCCGCGACCCAGCCGCTGCCCACCCGTGACCCAACCGCGACCCAACTCGCGACCCACCCACATTGCGATCAAAACCCGGCGACGTACCCACGCCATATGCATCGAGTGGCAAGAGATGTAGGCCAAAATTGGCAGGAACAACGACAGTGCAGGCGGGACGATTTGTTGTGCAAGCTACACGGGACGCGCGCACGTTGCACGACTCACAGAACTGCGATCGACAGGACGAGGGTTGGGGCCCCAGGCTTGAAGAAGAACGGAGGCGGGAACGACGGGCAGGAAAATGACGGAATTGTGGGGGCGGGAAGCCATCGCGGCAACAGCAGCATGGAGAAGGTGACAGGGGGAAGAGGGTGACGCTGAAAGTGGTAGGAGGAAACAGAAAAGTACCCATATTTACAGTGGCTGGCTAAACATGCAGCGCTGCCTGCGCCACGTCGCCGCAGCGCCCCAGCAGCCCTCGAACGTGGCGACAGTTTCGCAGATCGCAGCCCCCCAGGGATGGCGAGGTCTAGTCTGAATCTGGCGAGTACGCACTATGCTGGCCCCCCAGCAGCTCTCGAAAGTGGCGACAGTTCCAAATATCGCAGCCCCCCAGGGATGGCGGGGTCTAATCTGAGCCTGCGGCGAGTACCCACGATGGTGGCCCCCTCCCTCCAGCAGCCGTCGAAAGTGGCGACAGTTTCGCAGATCGCAGCGCCCCAGGGATGGCGAGGTCCAATCTGAGTCTGTGGCGAGTGCCCACTATGGTGGCCCCCTCCAGCAGCCCTCGAACGTGGCGACAGCTTCGCAGATCGCAGCGCCCCAGAGATGGCGAGGTCTAGTCTGAGTCTGCGGCAGGTGCCCACTATGCTGGCCCCCCAGCAGCCCTCGAAAGTGGCGGTAGCTTCGCAGATCGCAGCCCCCCAGGGATGGCGAGGTCCTCAGAGCCGAGGCTGTCGACGGCAAGAGAGGAGAGAAGGAGGGAAGAGAGGAGGTGGGATGAGAGGAGGAGCGAAGAGAGGAGGAGGGCAGGAGGTGGAGACCGCAGTGCTCTATTCAAAACGAAAACCCAACGCAGGTGGGTTGGGGAAAAAGGCGCCTGCGGCGGGCTCGTTGTCTAATTTGTAAAATTATCCGCCTGCGGGGGGCTGTTTCACAGCCTCGCAGATTGCCGACGTTCTAGCCGCCTCGTCACTCTCATCCGCAACTGCGGGGTACGACGTACATTCTTGTACGAGCACGCTGAACTGTTGATTCAGTCGACATGCCCGTCAGGGATGCACGGCCACAGTCAGTCAGTCAGCTCGCTGCCATCACCTGTTTCTTGCACGCATGTCCCTCACCTCTTGCTGCTGCCGCTGTGAACGTCCACAAAACAAGCTCACTGCTCTACTTCCCGCTCATACGTAGTCCTTCTTCGTGCCCGCTTGTCCTGCACTCCCTGCACAAAACATGCACCAATAAAGGACATCTCCTCGTACCAGGGGTCTCCCGGTGTGTAGTTGCGCAAGTTTTTCTGGTGCTCTTTGCTCCCGTGTGGTGCCTTGGGAAGTCAAGGGGGCACGTGCACAATAAACACTTGGATCATAAACGACCCGCGCATACCACCCAAGACGGGTAAACCCAGGACGCATTCCAAGCTGTAGGGCAACCAGCCGACGGTAACCTCCACGACGCTGACCTACCTGTCTTGCTGTCTTGGCCCCGCATCTGTAGATCCCCCACACTCCTCGTTCAATGTACAATAGGGGCAGTAATCTTGATGAAGATTCTGACTGAAAGACCCCAGCACTGAGTCCACAAAGCAATCCAACTCATGCAGTCGTAGGTATGTCTGCAGTGCAGGATCTCTGGGCTCTTTCTTGAAATCTATTGTCAGAAGCATGTAGGCCTCAAGTGGTGGTGGTATCCCAACTTTTGCCCCGAGGATCTCGCTGGACGCGGCGACAACAGAGTTGCCGAGGGCCCCGTGCGCCAGGGAGAAAGGAATTATGGACGGAAGTGGCAGGGCCTCTGCTAAACATATTGACGTGACGTCGCCCTCGCTGGGCATGGGCAGCACACCGCTGGGCATGCACGCTGCCTGCGGGGAAATCGTCGGTAAGGGGCCGGCGGTCTTGCGGCCTTCAGGCGTCTGGCGACGGAGCGGTCACATGCCATCCATACCCACCCTAATCAGGGGCGCGCAAACATGGATCGGAGGAGGTGCCCTCCCCCAAATGCGGCCAATGCCGCCTCGCTCGGCGGCGGAAATCCGCGATTTCCCACGGAAGCGGGACCCGTCGCTAATCCACGCCGCCTTGATCCATGTTTGCGATCGCCTGACCTCGGGTCCGGGTCTGGCCCGTGTCTTGTGACGAGCACTCCTTGACACCATCGGCGCATCTCGGTGCTCAAAGCAAGGACGTCCCTTCCTGCGCCGACTGTGGGGATGCAGGACCCGCTGTGTTGAAGCGCCGCAGGAACGAGAGTGGCTACGAGCAGAAAGGACAGAACGAAAGTGGAGTTGTGGGTGGGAGTACGACGGGACGATGTCATGCTCGGATTTGGGTCAAGATACGTTCCAGGACTTCCGGATTATCTGGCGGCCCTCGTTTCTGCGGCCCGTGTGGAGCATCAGGAAATCCTGAAAACCTAGAGAATCCAGGACCCCTTGGAACGTACCATTATCACGACCTCTTGCTCCTCTGAGGTGGGGCGTGTGGCCATGATGCCGAAGGTGCAAAGACACAGGAGGCATCCCCCTCCTCGTCGTCCTGCTCCTGTGCGGGGCGCCCCTTCCCTCCCAGTGGGCCGGGCTCCCACGCCTCGGCGGTCCCAGAGTGCGAGACGTCGTCGTTGATCCACTTACTACACAGCAGGCACTTCAGCCAGCGCTCGCCGTTCGGGTTGCTCTCTTCGCATGGGACGTATGCCATCCGACGGCCCCGCTCCCACATGGGGGCCGCTGTTGGCGTTCGGGAGCCGACCCACCCAGCTGGACCAGAGGATGTGCGCCGGGGGCGGGCGGGCACGCTCGGAGGGAGCTTCCTGGCTGCTCGGCTTCCTTCCTCGTAGCAGCATTGGCGACGCGATGGGTGCTGGTCGCGAGCGGGTGCGCTTGCAGTGAGCCTCCTGGGAAGCTCCCAATACCGCTGGCGAAGCGAGGTGTGCCGCAAGCGAGCTGGCACGCCTGAAGCCAACTTTCTGGCAACTACGCCTGGTCGAGCGATGCGCGCCGCAAGCGAGCGGGACCGCACCGGAATCCCGCAGGAAGCTTACAGGAAGGACACAGGGACACGGCCCCAGGGCATTCGGACTTAGCAAGGCACAACAGGACAGACAACAAGAATCCGCTGGCCAAGCCTGGATAGCAACCACCGCCGGCAACGCGATGTGCGCCGCACGCGAGAGAGCACGCTCGGAGTGAGCTTCCCGGCGATCTCCTTGGCAAAAGCGCTGGCGTCGCGATGTGCGCCAGAAGCGAGCGGGCACGCTCAGAGTTTCTCGGCTTACTTACTGGCAGCATTGGCGACGCAACGGCTGTCGAACGAGAGCGGGCACGCTTGGAGAGAACGCTGTGGCAAACTTTTTGACAACAGCGCTGGCGAATCGACGTGTGTCGCAAGCGAGCTGGCACGCTTGTAATGACCTTCCTGGCACCGCTGGTCGCGGCATGCGCCGTGGGAGCGAGGGGGCGCGCTTGGAGTGAGCTTCCTGGAAGCTGCGCTGGTCACGTGATGTGCGCCGCAAGCGAGCGGGCGCGCACGGGTAGCCCACAGGAGGCTCACGAGAGCGACAGGGGGGGCACAGCCCCAGGGTGGCTGCCAATAGCGAGGCAATACAGTCAACAGCGAGCCCTCTGCAGGCTCTAGCAAACCTAGTTCGGCAACACCGCCGGCAACGCGATGTGCGCCGCGAGCGAACGAGCTGGCAGCGAGTACGCTCGGAGTGAGCTTCCTAGCGAGTATCCTGGTAGAAACATTGGCGACACGATGGCTACCGATAACTGCTGGACGCGCGCGGGCACGCTTGGAATGAACCTCCTGGCAAAGACCTTTGGCAAAAGCGCTGCTGAAGCGATGTGCGCCGCGAGCGAGCAAACACGCTCGGAGTGAGCTTCCTGGTGAGCGCGCTGGCAACACTGCTGGCGGCGCGATGTGCGTCAGGAGCGAGCGGGCACGCTGGGAGAGAGATTTCTGGCGAACTTCCGAGTAGCAGAATTGGCACCGCGATAGCTGCTGGACGAGACGCGGGCACGCTTAAAGTACACCTCCTAGCAAGCTTCCTGACAACAGCGCTGGTGAAGCGAGGTGTGCCGCAAGCGAGCTGGCACGCTTGGAGTGAGCCTCCTGGCAGCTACGCTGGCGAAGCGATTTGCCGTGGGACCGAATTGCACGCTTGGAGTGAGCTCCCTGGCAACTACGCTGGATACGCGAAGCCCAACGGAGGCGCACGGGAAGGACACATGGACACCGCCCCAGGGCACCTGTCAATGGGGAGGCACCATAAAGTAAACAACCTGAACCTGTAGACAAAATAGTTAGGGAATCCCGCCGGCAGCGTCATGTGTGTGTCGCGAGCGAGCGAGATCACAGTTAGCACTCTCGGAATGAATTGCCTGGTGAACTTCCTGGCGAAAGCCCTGGCGGCGCGATGTGCGCCAGGAGGGAGCGGGCAAGCTTGGAGAGAGAGCTTCCTGGCGAGTGTCCTGTGAACAACATTGGTAACGCGATGGCAGGCGGACGCTAGCAGGCATGCTTCAAGTGAACCTCCTGGCAAGTGTCTTGGCAACAACGCTGGCGAAGCGATGCGTGCCGCAAGCGGAGCTGGCACGTTTGGAGTGAGCGTCCTCACAGCTGTGCTGGTCACGCGGTATAGCGTGGAAGCAAGCGGGCACCCTTTGGAGTGAGCTTCCTGGCAGCTGGCGACACGCATTGCAGGTGAGCGGACACGCACGAGAAGCCCGCATGATGCTCACGGGAGGACGCGGGTGGGACACCGCCCCAGGGCAATTGTACGTGGGGAGGTGGGGAGGTACTACAGTAAACAGAAGTAAGCCACATAGAGCCCTCTAGGCAAGCATAGATAGGGTATAAAGCGGACGAAGGACAGATCCGAGCCTGGAGCAAAGAGCGATCGCCTTGTCGCTTTACCCTGCCAGTGCTGCTTTTACTTAGAATGGTTCTTCCTGTGCAGTTGACCATCTGCAGTGCCTTCCCTTGCTGAGCGTTGCGATGATGTGCTGTGTCGTACCTCTCTTCCCTTTGACTCCCGACACGCTGTAATCTACACCGCTCGGAACCGCCCTTCCTTTTATCCGCCTTGCCCTACGCTGCATGTCCCTCGATTTGAGCCGCCCTGCCCTGCCTCGCTAGGCCCTGAACTACAACTGGCCTTGCCCCGCCCTGCTCCAGTCATGCAGCCGTGCGTGGCCCCGCCATGTCTTGGCCCTGCGCCGCCTTGCCTCGCTTTGCGTACAGACACCCCGTACAATCAGGATGCATGGTAAGGGTGCAAGGCCTTATTTCTCATTCGAGGCCCCCCGTGTCCTGTCCTTCTTTCTCGCTCGAAGGCCCCCCACCAGAGCGTCTCGCATCGTGCACGGACAAAGAAAAAACACCCTGAGCATCGGGCGCAGGGTCCACGCAGTCTCGAAGAGAATACATGAGCACGTGGTCGCCTGGATTCAGTACTCCTTCCCAGAAGGGCGCCTTGAAACAGATATTCGCGCATGAGCAGATCCTCAATGGGCATCTGAGCAAGAGCACTGGTGGGAACGAACCGTGGCCGTGGAATTTTGGTAGCGGCTTCCGTGTGGCCACCAGTCAGAGAGCTGGAGGCAGTGACCGAGCTGCGCGCAGGCACTACCCGCGTGCGGCTGCCCAGGCAAAAGGATGAGTGAGAAGCAGGCGTCGACAGCAACTGCTTACGCGCGCATTTGCAGCATGGGGTAATCTGGGGCAAGGCGTGAGGCAGAGGAAGGGTGACACGTAGGGCGGACGCGGCACTGGAGTAAAGCTGCCTTACGAGGGAACAAAGGGAACGAGACTCTGATAAGCAAAATTCGGGTGGAACAAGAGTCTCTGTGAAGAAGCGGCACCAGCCGGCGCGCTCTCCTTCTCGCACTTTGAGCCTGCTGGTCCGGCCGAACCAGAGCCATGACCCACAAAGCTGCAGATAATGTACAGGCCCTGGAAGAAAGTAGCGAACCCTCATGCCACATGTATCAATGCCCTCCCCAAGTGATCAACATTGGTAATGGGTTGGATAAACTGCGCTTCGACCGCAGTCCTCCCCGCGTGTGCCAAATTAGAATTTTGGGCAGATGGAAAGTGTTCGCGAATAGTTAGTGTCCCTCTACCGTAAGTCAATGTTTCCCAGCCCTCGTGTGTGTCGGGTTCCCGTTTTGAATAGAGGACTGCGGTGGCACACCTTCTCCTTCAATCAAACCCTCCTCCTCACCCCTCTTCCTCCCTCCTCCTGCACTGCTCCATGGGTGGCTGCGAACTGTGCAACTGTAGCCACTTCCGAGGGCTCCTGGGAGGCACGGCGGAGTCGTGGAGTAAACGGACCACTTGAAACCTCGCAGCCCCGCACAACCGTCGCAACTTTCCTGGGCTCCTGGGTTGCACGGCGGAGTCGTGGAGTAAACGGACCATTTAAGACCTCGCATCTCCCTGGGTGGCTACGAGCTGCGCAACTGTAACCACTTTCGTGGGCCCCTGAGAGGCACGGCGGAGTCATGGAGTAAACGGACCATTTGAGACCCCGTAGCTCCCTGGATGGCTGCGAGATGCGTATCTGTCGCCACTTTCGTGGGCTCAAGGGAAGCACGGCGGAATCGTGGAGTTAACGGACCACTTGAAACCTCGCAGTCTTGGATTGCTGCGAACTGTACAACTGTCACCATTTTCGTGGGCTCCTAGGAAGCACGGCAGAGTCGGGGAGTAAACGGACCCAGCCGAGACCTCGCATCTCCTTCGGTGGCTGCGAACTGCACAAGTGTCGCCACTCGTGGGCTCTTGGGAGGCACGGCGGAGTCGTGGAGTAAACGGACCATTTGAAACCTCGCAGCTCCCTGGGTGGCTACGAGCTGCGCAACTGTCACCACTTTCGTGGGCTCCTGGGAGGAACGGCGGAGTCGGGATGTAAACGGACCCGGATGAGACCTCGCAGCTCCCTGGGTGGCTGCGAGCTGCGCATCTGTCGCCACTTTCGTGGGCTCATGAGAAGCACGGCGGGGATGAGGGCAGCTGGCGATGTGTTCTGTCGTGTGGAGCGTTCACACAAATAGTCGCCTCACGTGGAGAAGGGGTTGGGTACGTCTCGGGTAATCCTTACCCTGCGTGTCGGGGGGCGGGGACCTTCTGCAAGGCTGCACGGGGGCATCATCGTGAAATCGTGAGCTCGATGACGGGATTGATTGAATCAGGAACCATGCGAAGAGATATCCAAGGCCTTGCAGCCTGCTGAATGGCCCAACGGTGGGGAAGCCGAGGGTGTCGCGGGCCACAATGCCGCTGACTGGGGAGGCCCTGGGATCCGGCAGATCTGGCCTCCACTGACTTCCGCACTGCAGAGGGCAACAACAAACCATGCGCCCCGACTCAGCGGTACTGCCAACGAGCTGTCGCTCGCCCTCACTCTCGCGTCCCCCGTCTCTGCTCGACTGGCGCCTTCCAGGCTACACATGGAAACTGGCCAACAAAAAACTCCTCTGAGGAAGCCAAAAGATACCTATACCGTTACCTCTACTCCCCGGACTTCTCCCTGGGCACGTTCTGATCAGGACTTCGAGGAGAATCCAGCGGTGACGACGAGGGCATCCCTGGAGGCTCAAAAAGGGGCTAAGGAGGCAAAGGTAGGGGTAGGGGTACCTATTCCTCCTCCGATCTTCTGGGACGGCGAGAGCCAATTGGACGTAGGGCAACTCCGGCTCCGGGTATCCACACCTGCGATAGCACGAGCCGCCGCTGCGGTCACTCTCGAGTCTCATCCACCCACCCCCCGCGCGGAGACCTCTGAAGATTCCTGGAGATCTCTGGAGGACCCCAGTCAGGGAGCCCACCAAAGGACGTATGCGCCCAGCAACGTACATCAATACTGCTCCCCATTCCGCAATGTTAACCTTGTGCTACGAAAATTCGTGCAAGACGTACTTTCAAAACCAACGCGGATTCATGTACGTGTACGTTCTTCTTTCGCTTCTGACCAGTCGGGGACGCACTGACCTGGGTCAATTCAAACCCGGGTCAGTCAGGCTTTGCAAGGTCCTGCGCAATCCTGCGGGATCCTGCAAGATCCTGCGCGCTAGGCCAGGTCGGTGCACCCCATGCACTGCATGATCCTGTACGATCCGGCGCTCTGGCTGACCCCCCGTTTGCGTTGACCCCAATCTCAAGGCTCCAAACCCAGAAGCCTAAGGAGATTTCCGGAGGCCTCAAAAAAGAGCCTAAGAATTCGGATACAACTAGCGCATCCAACAGGGAACCTCTCCCCTCGATCCTCGAATGTCGGTGCGACGTTGTCTCGCACCGACATTCAAGCGGGGGCTCTGCGGGCGTCTCGCAGAGCCTCCACCATCGAACCTCGAGGATCGAGGAGGACCCTGCCTGCCCTTTCCTTCCCCCCGCCCCTCTCCTCCGTCCTCTTTTCCCTCCATCCGTGAATCAACGCCCTCCCTCCCGCCATGCCTTCCGCGCCCGTCGCTGGAGGGGCAAGCTCGGGCTCAGTAACTAGCAAGAAGGCTCTCACACTCCGTCCCCCTTCCCTTCCCCTCTCTCCCCTGAGTTACGGAGGGATGGAAGGCGCATGATGCTCCATCATTGCACTGCTGAAATGAGCCCTGCCCCAACAACACCGAGGAAGGGATGATGCATGATGCTCTCTCCCTTCTCTCCCAAAGTAAACTCTGCCGGAGCCTCACCGAAGAAGGGATCGAGCCCTCCTCAAAGGGGTGGGGAGGAGGGAAAGGGGTGAGCGCGGATGGGGAGGACAGTGGAGCCGAGGAACCGTGGCAGGGAGTGAAGCGGGGAAGGAGCCAAGGAAAACAACCGAGCTGTGCGCATCAGGTTCCCACGCGCATCCCTGCTCTGCCCGAGTCGGTCTCCTCCTCCTCCTCCTCCTCCTCCTCCTCCTCCTCTTCCTCCTCCTCCTCCTCCCCCTCCTCCTCCTCCTCCTCCTCCTCCTCTTCCACGAGTACGGCCACGCCGCCCGCACGAGCGCAGGGTCACAGCAGGGTGTCTTGGAGGGCGGCGGCTGGAGGCAGAGTGAGGGGAGGGGGGGGGGCAGGGACACGGCGAGCCCAGGGCCCCGCGCGCCTTTTCTTTAGTTGTTAGTATGATTATTATGTTTAGTGTATGATTGCCGTTTTCTCTTCATCATCGTGTTGAGCTAATACGGTTGTGTCAGTATGATTCGTAGTATTACTACTAGCAGTGTTCGTTTTCGTATTACTGTTGCAATCCAACACACGAATATTGTTCTACCACTATTACCCGAAAAATGATTACTGATATAACTAATACTGTTCGTAGACGATTCGCTGGTGTTGCTATTGCCATCGCTGATATCAGTGTTATCATGTGTAGCCCTGAAAGTATTAGCCTTGCACGCTTGTATAATTTACTACGGTTGTACATGTCATTCCTTATACTTTGTACATGTTGTATAGAATGTATTATTTTTAGCCATTACACAATTACAATCGCTAGTGTCTGGTAATTATAATTCTCAACCTTATGCATAGTGTAGTAGTATGCGTCATCTTATGAATACGAGTATGCTGAAGATGCTGATGCTGATGCTGATGATGTTGCTGCTGATGATGACGATTAGGATTCTTATGATTATGAACATGATTATGACTATGAGCAAGATTAAGATTATGATTATCGTTAGTCGCATTATTGCTACATTTCTGATATGTTGCGTGGGCGTGAGTCGTGAGCGCGCGAGTCGTGCAGCCCCTTCCATGGTCTGGCCCCACTCGCCCATCCTGAGCATCGATCCCTGGACCTCTCCTGGGGTCCGTCCTGGCTGGGCTCTCGAAAGGAATCCAAGTGTGGCGACGAGGGCGCTCAAGGAGGCCCAGAGTGGGCACACGGCGCGAAGGTCCCCACTGCACCCCCCATGGCGCCTCTGGACTCTCTGCATCTCCCGCCATCTCTCGAGGCGGTTGACGTGGTCCTCCTTGGCGAGGTGGCTCTCGTCGATCACCTGGCGCGTGACAAGGTCGTCATCATGGTCCGTCGTCCGCCGCCCCTGTCGTTGTCGTGATCGTAGTCGTCGTCATCGTTGTTGGCGGCGTGTGCAGATGTGTGCGATATGGGGCCTCGAGGGGGCGCCGAGCTGGTTGAGCACGCGGGCGGGCACCCTGTCACTCCCCCCTTGTCTCCGCCGGTTGCTCCTGCTCGGCACGGGTGTTTTCCAGGGATGCTCAAAGGGCCTTCAGAGCATCACTCAAGAAACCCAGCGGGCCTCAGGGAATCCAAAACGGCGCGGGAAGCTGGAGCCACCTCGGGCCAGGATCACCCCTGGCAACCTCCGACCAGACAAGGATCGAGGATCGAGGAGGACCGAAGACCAAGGTCATTGGACCTTGTTGGCCTTTGAAGACCTCTGGGGACCTCCTCCATCTCGCCCTTCCCCAGTATCCCCCGCATGCATCCCCTGGCCGGCAAGCGCCACACGACTGCGATACTCGAGGGGGGGATACCGAGGTGGGGGGAGTGCAAAGGGACAGCAAAAACGCAGGGGTTGGCAGAGGAGACACGTGGCGCGCCATACCCAAGGGGGGCGGCGCAAGAGCTGGCATGAGGCCAAAGATACTGCAAACTATGCAGCGGAAACCAGGGATGCAGACACACAGGTGGGTCTCTCTCCGTCTCCCTCCCTCTCTCTCTCTCTCTTTCTCTCTCCCTCTCTGCCTCTCTCTCTCTCTCTCTCTCTCTCTCTCTCTCTCTCTATATATATATATATATATATATATATATATATATATGGGAAATACATGGATGATTACGCGCCCTAAAACTGGATGCGAGCTTCGCGTGGTGCGTTCACGTCCCAACAAAGTTCAACCACAGGGTTCGTGCTGAAACTGTAGAGAGAAGTACCTTCCAAGGGAGACGATTATTCACGGAAAACGAATAGCAAGGACGACTGACGACACGTGGCTACAAGAAAGACAGGAAGGGCGAGGAACGACGCAAGACGGCGCAAACACACAGAACGGAAATGGGGGGACGCAGGATGACTGCGGGTAGGGGGCTCCAGGAGGGAAGAAGCACAAATGGTGGCAGGATCGACGAAACAACCATCATGTATGTAGCGGGATGTAGCAGCTACGCGTCGGTGAACAGACTCCAACCCAAAGGGGCTGATGCCTCATACGTACTCGTGTACTGGAGGGGAGACTAAAACATTCATCGCAACGCTACTGAAGTGCGGGTGGGTGGGTGGGATGTTTGCAAGAGCGCGGGATGTGTCAACACGTGTGTTAAAATCAGATGCGCCACGTATATTGCACCACGTAGCTTGCACAACCTAGATCGCACCAGAAATTTGGCAAAGTTTAAATCGCACGGCGCAGCTTGCGCAAATGCATTGCGCAGCACAAGTTGCACCACGCACATTGCACCGCATATGTTCCACCACACATATAGCACATAATACCGTAGCATTTCGCAGTTGCGGATAAGAGTAAGGGGGCGGCGGGGACGTCGGCAGTCTGCGAGGTTTTGGAGAAGCCCGCCGCATGCACAACATTTTTCAAGCTATACAACGAGCCCGCCGCAAGCGTATATTTTTTGCTAAAACAATGTAGGTGGGTCGCGGGTTGGGTCGCAGGTGGGTCGCGGGTGGGTCGACGGTGGGTCGACGGTGGGGCGCGGGCGGGGTCGCGGGTGGGTCGCGGGTGGGTCGCGAGCGGGTCGCGAGGTTGGTCGCGGCTGGGTCGCGGGGTGGGTCGCGGGCGGGTCGCGCTTGGGTCGCCGGGTGGGTCGCGGGTGGGTCGCACGGTGGGTCGCGGGCGGGTCGCGGGCCAGGTCGCGGGGGGGGGCGACGACAACAACAACAACAACAACAACAACAACAACAATCATTTTACCCGAACGCTCAGTGTTCTCACCAGTGCCAGGGTTTTCATGCGACGCGAGACAATACCCCCACTTCGTGGGGGGGCAGTTCAAGCTCTACCAAATATCCAAACGACTCTTCGCGACCACCCAAACCCAGCTTCCCGCCCTATGACGTTGGGACACTTCACTTCGTGGCGTGCGGACGACCGTGGCTACTACACTGGCGTGGGGTACACACCCACAGAACTTGGTCACTTATTCGGGGCGCGCGTGTGCCCAGCATCCTGCAATTGTGACATACAATACATGACACAGACAGACAGAGAGAGAGACAGAGAGCAGACAGAGAGAGAGACAGAGAGAGCGGAGTTGGTCACATTTTTGGGGCAAGTTCCTAAGATCGTCGTGTTTTTTGTTGGTCTTGCGCGCGCGAATGTCCACTTTACTTTTTTTTGCAAGGGAGTATTGAAATTTGATTATGTTAGAACAAGAAAAAGTAGCTCGCGCGAGCTCATGTAACATAAATGTTGAAAAACCATTGGTTTTGTGGGAGTCGGACAGCGCGCGCGGGATGAAATTTGGACATTTTTTTTGAAAAACCATTGGGTTTTTGATGTTTTTATGTTGAAATCGTTACGAAACCTAAGGTTCTGGAAGGATTTCGTCTTGCGCGCGCGAATGTCCACTTTACCTTATTTTTTGCAAGGGATTATTGAAATTTGATTATGTTAGAACAAGAAAAAGTAGCTCGCGCGAGCTCATGTAACATAAATGTTGAAAAACCATTGGTTTTGTGGGATTCGGACAGCGCGCGCGGAAGGACATTTTGACAATTTTTTCTTAAAAAACCATTGGGTTTTTGATGTTTTTATGTTAAAATCGCTACGAAACCTAAGGTTTTGGAAGGATTTCGTCTTGCGCGCACGAATGTCCACTTTACCTTATTTTTTGCAAGGGATTCTTGCAATTTGATCAAGTAAGAACAAGAATTTTCATTTTATAGTGTTTTTTGCAA